TGAACGCATGTGAAATTGACAAATCAAATTTTAGAACAGAGTCGGAGTGAGGGGGGAAGGTAAGTTTCTGTGAGGTAATGACATTAGGGGTTATAATTGGGGAAGCCTCATCCCTCGGGTGTTACAGAAGATCAGAATAGAAGCAGCAACAGTAATCCTGATAGCCCCGGCTCGGCGGAGACCGCCGTGGTACCCGTTCTTGCACAACATGTCACTTCGCCTGCCCTGGCCTCTCTCTCTTCGCCCAGACCTTCTCTCGCAAGAACAAGGCTCGCTTCTTCATCCGAAACTGGACGCGTTATATCTGACGGCATGGCTAATAACTGGCTCAGACAGAACGAAACCCTGTGTTCAGACCAGGTTAAAACAATATTGATATGTTGCAGAAAGAGATCTACACAAAATACTTACTTGGCAAAGTGGCGCAGATACTCACAGTGGTGCCTCCAAAACAGTGGAGTAACTTCCTCTTGCATTGAGGTCATGCCAGCATCTCAGTAACATAACATCACTAGCAGTTGCCTCCTCTTGTTGTTCAACATAAGCCAGTGCCGCCTCGAGAGCCTTGATCCCTTCGCTATGACTAATTCTCTCCGTTTTGTCATTGTCATTTGTCTCTTCATCTTCATCATCTTCATTGTCGTTGTCATCTCAATTCACCAGAGCTATGATGTCGCGGTCAGTCAGTTCTTGTTGCTTGTCTTTCTCCATCCATTCCTCTGTATATCATCATCATTCACCTTCTCACAGCCTAGAATTTGTTGTAACAAATGTAGCAGGTTATCACAATTTTCTTGCACCATTTCTTACATGTTTTCGTCTTCGGAAAGTAACTTTCTTTATGATCTTGCCAGAGTTTGCGGTTCAATCTCTTCCCATGATTGTGCGATCCAATAAATAACATCTTTTATGTTCAGTGCCTTTAGTTTATCTAGCATACCATTTCCATCGTCTTATCGCCTCAATGAGCGCAGTTAAAAGCTTACGACGATATTTTTTTCTTTAACGCTTCAAGCACACCCTGGTCCACAGGCTGACACAACGAGGTGATATTAGGAGGAAGAAAAATCACTCTAATGTCCCCACTGATCAGTTCATCCTCATGAGGATGAGATGGCGCATTATCAATGACAAGTATTGCTTTCCTCAGTAGGTTTAGCGAATTCAAAAATTGTTCTACCGAAGGAAGAAATTCCTTGAAAAACCAGCCTCGGAAAATTGCTGAATCCATCCATGCATTCCGCTGATTCTTGTACAAAGCCGGTAGAGCAGTAGGTGCTATGTTTTTAAAGCTCATGGGTTTTTTTGCCTTTCCAGTAAATGTGGAAAGGCATTTATTAGTTTGTAGTTACCAGCCGCGTTACTACAGGCTAAAATCATTACTCTTTCTTTACTTCGTTTATACCCAGGAGCTGAAGCTTCAGCCTGGGAAGCTAGAGTTTTTGAAGGCAGCATTTTATAGTTTAAGCCTGTCTCATCGCAGTTATATATCTGCTCACCTGATAATCCTTCATTGTCGATGAGACAATGAAAATTTGCTTTAAATTTCAGAAACCCTTCCAGATTTGCCGATAATTTTTTGCCACATATACTGAGCTGCCTTAACCCAAATCTTTTTTTCCAGTGATCAAGCCAACCTACACTAGCCATGAAATCAGGTTCCCCTTCATTAAATTCCTTTTGGAAACTCAGAGCTTTCTCTTGCAGAATCGGGCCTATAATAGGCATGCCCTTATTCCTTTTCTGTGTGAACCATAAGAACAACACCTCACTCACTTTTTCATATTCACATTTTTTCATCATTTTTCTGTCCTTCAGTCCTGTACTTGAGGGTCGATCAGAGCACCACTTTCCCAACTCACTTCTTTTCCTCTTCTAGTCACCAACTGTCACTCACCCCACACCGAGTTCAGATGCAATTTTTAGCATGGACTTGCCTTTGTCTATTCTCTTTAACGCTTCAAGTTTTTGTTCAATGGAAAGAACCACTTTTTTTCTCTTTTCACATTCCGTGTTCCTTAAACAATACAATTATACTACAGTAAGGGGAACATGCAATTGGAAAAATGAAACACAATCACAGCACAAACATAAATCAGTGGCATAGAGGAACAAACAAAGCTACAGCCATGGTGGTATGTGATGCATGGACATGTAAATAGCATGTTGAATGGCTATGTCAGATAAACCGGAAGGTTGGATAAGCGAAGGTTGGATAATCAGGACTCTATTGTATATGCAACTGCTGATGATACTGCCCCTTGTGCCATGTGCCTTGTTGAGATGCTATGAAAAGTGTGTAGAGCTTTTGACGATGAGTATCAGTCAGTTTGAGTATCTGGATAGAAATGTAATTGTACTATTGGTGGGTTAAGAAATTAAGGCCTAAATCCTATATACGCATACTCAATGTGAGTTGGAAATATTTTTTCTGAGTTAACATTTCGATACTTAAATTAAGGTGAATATTTTCCTTGGGATTGTTTAGAACACAAAATAAAATTTTACCTGGTTGTAAGAAATTAAAGCTAAGTGCTGGTAAGAGATAATGGGTGACTGTATGTGGTACATGACAGAGGCATATAAAGACTTCATCGGCAGGAGTTTGGGAATACTATATATTTTATGTAAAGTCACAAGTTTGTATCTCAGATTGGTTCAGAGAAGCACTGCTAAAAACTTTTGTGTCATTAGTTGTGCATATGCAAAAGCTAAACAATGTTTGAGAGAGTTTGATAAACATGATTGGAACTGTTTTTTGTATCTTCCATCTGTAAAGTCAGGTTGTTAGTTGTTTTAGCTCAGTGGGCATAGCTGAAAGGAGTTATAAATATTTAAAAATGACAGACTAGAATCTCTGGACCTAAAAATGTCACTATTTAAAAGCCTGTTATCTCAGGCCCTTTTGTGGCTAGATGCTAGTTCTCTGTCCCATTGGGGAAACATTTTCTTCTTCCTAGAATAAACTCATTTTTTTCCGGAACTACCGGGTTTCAAGATAATGTACGTCAAAATCATTACTTGAATATATAGAATATGCTATAGCTTTCAC